GGGAACCACTGGCATCATTTCATAATTTCAGTGGTGATATTTGAAATCTGAGTAATAGCTCCTTGTATATATGTACCACATTTCTGTAAGATTTTATCTGCCAAGTAGACCTTTTCTTGGGTTTGTCTTGGCAATTGGAAGTAAAACTCCAGCGAAGTTTGGGGTGGTTGTGTCATTTTGAATGATGGTGTTTTGTAATGTAGGCCCAGGTGTGGGTATTAGAATCCTAGCTTTACCTCTCTTGACTGTTTTGTTCTGCCATGTGCTGGCTATCCCTTCAAGGGGCTGTTGCCAATGTCTGTTCACAGGGAACTTAAAGGGGGACTTCATTATCTCCTGGCTCTCTCCTCCATGTACTGTTTGCAGATTGTTAGGATGGCCATTCTGTCAAATGGGATTTGATTTCTTGTTATCGTTTTGATCGGCATCATTCCTGTGATAATTCAGGATGCTGAGCATCTTGTCCTGTGGTCGTTTGGGTTATTTTTCTCTCTCTCTTTTTATTTCCTTAAAGGGTATGAGGAAAATTGACCTTTGAAATTGGTTTCATGAAAGTCGGCTGTGTTTGGAATTTATCTCTAATATCTGCCACAGGACTTTCCCAAGGGCAGCTGTCATTCACTGCCCCACAGGCCTTTTGAATTGGAGGTGCCAGTCAGCACTGGTGGGCAAGTTGTTCTTACAGGAAATGTCCACAAGGTGGCGGCACTTCTTCATGCCCAACTGGTTCCACCTGTAACTAGAGCCTTAAGGAAAGTCGGCTTCCTGGGCTGTGAATTAAGAGTGGAATGTGCCTGAGCAAACACCCGAAGGCTTGTATCTCTCCACTTCTTTCCCACTGAAGCTTCTCCTCCCCTCTAGCTTCATGCCTACCTGGGGCACCGCTTCCTGCTGAGGTGCCTAGGGGGCTGCACTCTCAGGAAGAAGGCTTTAGCTGGGGACTCCAGCACCAAGGCCCTGGATTCTCGGTGACTTTACCCTTGCCCTCGAGCCCACAGTCAGGCCACCATCGTTTGGGTGCACTAGGGATTCTGGTCCCAGCCAGAAAAAAAAAAAAAAAACAGAGTACAGGATTGAGACAGATCTCAATGAAGGGGACCCTGCTTCGCTGTCTCGACCCCACCCCAGTCCAGCCGTGGGATTCAAGCCTAATTACGTTCCTGGGATCAAATAGCATCCCGAGTCCAGCAGGTCAGAGGGAATAAACCAGACGTTAGTTTCTTTTCTTTAATCTCATGCCAACGCTGCGCTGAAGTCTAGTCGATCTGCAGTTTTGTGCTTGTCCTCAGTGTGTTGCTGGCCAAAAGCGTGGCCTCTCTGCCCACTGAAGCTGAATGAAAAATACGGAGACAGAGTTTGCAGGAAATAGAAACGTGGCTTTAATTCTCAGCCGGCAGAGAGCGGAAGGCAGTAGTCTCATGCCTCAAGAACTGTGCCCCTGCTCCATGAGGAGTCTAGGGGCTTATGTAAGCTGAGGGACAAAGGTGGCAGGATCTTGATTTCTTCCTCATGCATTGTTTTGTTGACTAAAAATTATAGTCACAACCTGAAAGTAGAGAGTTATTTTATTTGGTGCGAATATTTAGGACCCCAAGCTCTGGAGACAGCATCTCAGTAGCTCTGAGAAAACTGCTCCAAGGAGGCAGAGGGTAAGTCAGGCTATATACAAGTTTGCAACACAGGGAGCAGGCAGTCTACATATCAAAGATCAGGTATCAAGTTAAGGAATTTAGCATTCTATGTATGGGAAGATGCAAGCCTCTGGGCTCACTGAATTCATTTGTTTCATATGCACCTCAGCTATCTGAGGCCAGTCCTATTTCCTTGTTCACCTTGCTTTTTGGATTCCCCCAGCTCTTCAGTAATCACCATGCAGAGGTGGCAGCATCCCCTGGATCACAATTTGGGGAGCCCTCATTCACATTTGGAGGCCAGAAATCACTGATGGCGGTGACATTTCTTGTTCATTAATATGGCAGGAGATATTTTCATTTAACAATTTCGAAGACAGTCACAGGCTGGAGTCAGTAACTCAGTCATTGAGTCTGGCGGTGGCTCTGTGGCCTTCTTTCTGATGTGTAACAAAAGGGCAAGGGTGTTGTAAACAGATAGGGGGTGTATTTAGCATAGAGTCTAAAGAAAAATGTGAATTGTAGCTCCTGCAGAGTTAGGCTGCAGAAAAGCAAACTTAGCTACTGATATGCAGAGTTAGGAGCAGTTAAAAGTAAAAAAAGTAGGAATGTTCAGGCCTGCTCACTGTTATCTTTATCTTCTTTGTTCTCAGGAAAGGGAAAGAGAAAAACTCATTCCTCTTTTTTTCCTTTCACTGCAACAAGTATACAACAGACTGATACAGTTATGACTTAATCATACAGCATATTTGTACTTTTTATTTATTCTTTTGCCATAGAGATTATTGAACAAGGTAAAGTTCTTTGTGGTGAACATCAGGTCCCTGTGGAGGAACTATTAGAGATACAAATGTTTTTATATGTGCAAGGAATGAAAGAAGGAGATATTCCTTGTGGATTATCTATTATAGTGACAGGTATTTATTTACATGTTAGATGTAAGTATTTCTGTGTATATGTAAATGGAAGGAAGGCAGGAGATAATCCTCATGAATTAGCTAATACAGATACAGATTTCTGCGGGTATGTAAGAGATGTGGATTTCAGTGCATAGGTAGAAAGAAGGAAGGAGATAATCCTAGCGGATTATCTATTACAGATACAGATTTCTGGGTTTACATTAGTTCAGTTCAGTCGCTCAGTCGTGTCTGACTCTTTGCGACCCCATGAACCTCAGCACACCAGGCCTCCCTGTCTATCACCAACTCCCAGAGTCCACCCAAACCCATGTCGATCGGTGATGCCATCCAACCATCTCATCCTCTGTCATCCCCTTCTCCTCCTGCCCTCAATCTTTCCCAACATCAGGGTCTTTTCCAAGGAGTCAGCTCTTCGCATCAGGTGGCCAAAATATTGGAGTTTCAGCTTCAGCATCAGTACTTCCAATGAACACCCAGGACTGATCTCCTTTAGGATGGACTGGTTGGATCTCCTTGCAGTCCAAGGGACTCTCAAGAGTCTTCTCCAACACCA